AGCCCGTCATCTGGCGGTGGCCGAGGGCTGGCGAGCAGACAGGCAGTGCTGCGCCGACGTGGCCCTGGCCACAGCCCGCAGCCTGGAGCTGTTGCTGCTCAAGCCGCGGAGGTTCATGAACCTCAACGGGCTCAGCGTCGCCAGTGCCGGTGAGTGGCTCGGTCACCCCCGAAGCCTGCTGTGCCACCGGGCCCTGTGACGGCCCTGCTGTCCCTCTGCTCAGCTCTGCAGGGTCAGGGCCTGGTGAGTCTGTCTCCCCCTCATTTCTTGTTGTATTTCTGTTTCCAAAGCTGAGATCTACAACCTCCACCCAGAAGACATTTACCTGGTTCATGACGACCTGGACAAGGCCCTGGGCAAGGTGGCGATCAAGCTGGGAGGCAGTGCAAGGTATGGAGTGGCCCCAGCTCTCTGGTTGTGTGAGCTGGTTCGAGGTCTTGCTGTGCCCTTACAGGCGCATGGGCCATTCCTGGCCCTGTCCCACCAGCCTGGTGGTGTTTTCAGCCCGAGCGCCAGCCCTGGGCTCGATCCCAGTTGCAGAACCAACAGCCGGCTGTTTGGGCAGCCTCCCGGTTTCTGCCCTGGCAGGAAGGGCAGGGAGCCTCCTAGAAGCAGCTGTGGGCTGGATCCAGCCCATCGGCTGCAGCACACGGGCTTTTTATAGCACTCTGCCTGCCCCAGCGCCAGCTCCTGGGTCAGCCTTGGGACATTTAACCTAGGAAATCTTCCACTGCGGGCCAGGGCAGAGCTGGTACTGGGCCACGGCGCTCAGTCACGTGCACCAGCTGCAGCAAGAGCTGAGATGCACAGAACGTGCTGTCCCAGCCCTGCTTCCCCTCATCCTCCCCAGCCAGCTGCTCTCAGCCCCAGGGGCTGGATGTTCCTGCAGAGCCAGGGCATGGGGGCTGCAGGCCTGGCTGGGACCACATCCCTGAGACCCTGCAGCGAGAGACCCTGAGACTATACCCGGGGCGGGGGGGTGTCTCTGACAGACTAATGGTGGGTTTTCTCCTTCTCTCCCAAGGGGACACAACGGGGTCCGATCCTGCATCAGTGCTCTGCACTCCAATGTGAGTGGGCCTCAGTGGAAAGGGATCAATCCTGCCCCCACCTCAGTGCATGGCTTGTCATCCCCCCACTCCCATTCTTCCGACTCCCCTCAGACAAGCCCCTGCTCCCTTTTCCTCTCTCCCCTTTTCTTCTTCCCCTCCTTCCCTCTGCTTCCCCGAGGGCTGATGTCGGTTTGGCCGCCATAAAGGACATGGAAACAATTAGCTCAAGCAGCTCTGCCAGGCCTGGCAGGAGCCCGGGATCTCAGCGCAGCCCAGCAAAAGCCTCTTCCAAAATCATGTTTCTAGGAGCAAGCACTCAAAACCACCTGGAAAACATGGGGTGCTGCTCCCTCACCACCCAGCCCCACTCGCAGCACTGTCCCCTTGCCCCAGTCTCTCGGCCGGGCCCTTGAGGTGAAGCTCCTCCAGCCCTCCTTCTATCTCCCCAGGAGATGACCCGGCTCAGGGTCGGCATCGGGCGGCCGGAGGGTGAAGTGACGGTGTCCAGCTACGTCCTGGCTCCATTCAGCACCGAGGAGCAGGAGAGGCTGGAGCAGGTCCTGGCCCAGGCAGCGACGTTCCTGCTGGAGCACATCATGCGGAGGAGAGCGCCCGCAGGGGAGCCAGGGAACAGGGGCTGACATGAACCCCCAGGGACCCGCGTGGCCGATGGACGGAGCGCTGTGGACTCTCCAGGGTGACCGTGGTGCGGAGCAGAGCTGGCCCTGCTGGGCAGCCTGGCCAGGTGCTGGGGCAGCCCCAGTCGGTCCCCACACAGATATGGGCAGCTCGTATCCCACTCAAACCCCTGCAGTGGCTTCATACGGCAGATCAGCACAGAAATGAAATAAACCCTCGCCCCTGGCTCTGCCCTGCTCCTGCCCCTCTCCCCTGCACTGCCTGCTGAACTCGGGCAGTCCCTGGCTCTCTGCAGCTCAATTCCGTGTTCCCATCCCTGTTCCAGCAGCCCAGGCTGGAGGGAAGCTTCCAGTGGGAAGTGGGGAGCGATGGGAGCGACTTCTGCAGGGTCCAAAACCACTTCGGCTTTGTTGAGAAACTGGAAAGCACGAGCCACCTGGAATCTCGTAGCTCAGCAGCACACGAGGGCTGCTCCCACTGAGCTGCAGTAAGTTTCAGGGCTGGCCTCAGGTTTTGAGTTAGGTGGTTTTCAGCCAAACCTTGGAATTTCCAACAGCTGGAGTTCTGGTTCCTCCTTGCAGACCCGTTACAGGTCTCATGGTGGAGAAGGCAGCCCCAGAAGCAGTGTCTCCCCACCACCGCAGCTTCCCAAAGCCCTGGGCTCTGCCGGCATGTCCTGTCCAGCTGCATATCCTGCGAGCGCGGCTGCACCGAGAGCCCCAGCACGGGCAGCTCCTCACCCGTGTCCCAGTGGGCGCTGTAACAAGTGCCGGGACCCTTGCTGGGTCACGCATACCACAGCGCTGCTGCTGCTTCCTTCCTCTGGTCCAGCTGGCACCAGACCTTCCTCCACTCCAGCTCCCAGTTCCTGAGCTCCTCCCGTAGCATTGAGGCTACCTGCGACCAGGGGACAGGCAGGGAAGCAAAGGTGTCCCCAACCTGCCGTCGCCTCTCCATGCTGCTGTGTCGCCCGTGCCTGTACTGACTGGGACCCTGTGGTTGTCGACCATGCGCTTGGCCATCTCCTTCTCCCTGTCCTCCAGCAGATCCACTTGGATCTTCAGGTCCCATGCGATGTCTTGGAGCTGGTTGTTTTCCTGCGGGAGGTCCCTGCTGTAGCTGTGCATCCTGTCCCGAATGATGCTCCCCTGGAGCATGTTTGGTGGGCTCAGACATCCTGCTGTGGGTCTCAGCTGCGGAGGCTTCCACCCACTGCTTCATCGCCTTCATTGGGCTGTGGGGAGAAGAGGGGCGCAGCCCCCCAAACCCTGGGTGAAGGCAGCGTCCCAGGGCTAACCCCAGCAGCTGCTCGAGGGCCAAAAGGGACAGCCAGCTGCCAGGCAGGGGTGGAGAGAGGCGGCAGCTCCGGGGGCCTGGCAGGGAGCTCGCATCTCCCCAGCTCACCCAGACTAGGGCTAGTTGCAGTGTTTTTTAAGGAAATTGCTCCTCCACCCCAGAAAACCCTCAGTTTTCAATGGAACGTCGCCCTGCTGAGGAGCTGAGGTTTAGCACCAAACAAGCCCGGGCTCTTGGAAAGCAAACACCCTCCTCCAGAGCTGGCCACAAAGGTGACAGATGCCGGAGCCCAGCAGGACTCAGCTGCACATCTCGGTGCTCAAGCTGGTGTCAGGTTTTCAGTCCCAAGGCCAAACCTCGCGCCAATGAGGGAAACCATTTCCATCAGCATTGCCAGGGGAGAGCTGAGCTCTGCGGAAATGCCACCCACCTTTTCACCCCCAGACCCCAAGACAGAGCTCCGGTCTCTGTCTCCCACCCCACCTTCCTTCCTCCCTTTCCCCATTACAGATTTCATTCCCAAAGCAATCCCTGGCCGGGGGAACTGCCAGACCCTCGTCACCACAGCTCCGAGGTGACCCCAGTGGGGTATGCCCTGGGGACGTTATGTGGGGCAATGCCACCTGGCAGAGCCAGCACCCAGCACGTCAGCTCAAACACAGTCTGCTTTAATCCTCCCTGCGCTTCAGCCCAGACATGGCACAGGCAAGGGACAAGCCCGGTCGGCGGCAGGAGGCCACGTGTGCCACCATGGGAGCCAGCCCCCGGCCTGAAAAACGCTCCCCAAAGTCCAAGCCGGTGGGAGATGGCGGAGTTGGCATCGCTCAGGGCAGTCCTGGAGACGTGTCCTCAGCAGAGACGGAGCACAGCGCTCCCCTGGTCCCTCCACCTGGCAGTGAAAGTGCTCTCCAGGAGCCCTGGGGCAAATCCTGCCTTGGGTGGATTCGCCACGTGCAGATTCGAAGGACCCTGGGGGGATCTGTCCAGGGCAGCTGCATCTCTCAAGCGGGAGCAGGCAGGATCAGGCCACTGGCCCGCAGTGCTCCCAGCTGGATCACAATCCCTCGTCCCTAGGAGGCAAGGACGCAAACATTAGCGGTCAAGGCAGGAGCAGCCCCGACGTGTTCACGCCTGCAGTAGAGGCGGTGGGAGGGTTGTTTTCCAGCCTCCCCCGGTCTGGCTGCTCCCGGGGAGGCTCTGCTGCCAGCACAAGCAACCTCAGACAGGGAAAGTCTGACCCGGCGTTAACCGTGGCGGTGCTGCCTTGGGGCCGAGCGAGTGCAGGTGCTTGCCTGCCTGCACGGCCACCCCACAAAAACACAGCCCCAGGGAGACCTGCTTTTGAGGGGGAGCAAACAGCCTCAGGGTGAAACTTTCCCCTGCGAGACGCCCCCAGCTCTCTCCAAACTAGGGTGACTTTTGCAGGAGGCGAAGGAGCGTTGTCCCTTCCTCGCTTGAGGGGCTGGGGAGCAGCACGGACTCGGGGAGCAGCAGGACCCGGTCCCCTGGTCCCCTCCAGCCCAGTGCAGCCCCACATGGGACATCTACATCCCCATCCCTTTCCCCGCCTGGAAGAGGTGGTCTCGTCTCTGTTTCCCAACGCTTTGAGTCTGATGGGGAGAGCTGCTGCCACATGGCAAAAAGAAACTAGGCATCCGGGACACATCTGAACACAGCGCTCGCAGGGAGATGCTTCCCAGCCACTCTGTCCCCCATCCCCGGCACCACGCGCCTGGGTCCCACAGCCTCGCTCACCATCAGAGCTCGTCATGGGCGGTGGAGCGGAGGTGGCCGGCACCACCCCGTGAGTCCCTCAGGGTCTTCTGCGAGCCAGCCCAGTCGGTCTTCTTGGCATCGTCATCCCAGATGGTGGAGGTCTCGGTGTCGCTCAGCCAGTTGCTGTCCCCAGCATAGTGGGTGGGATAAACCAGGAGGGGGTGAGCCGAAAACACCAGCAGGTCCCGGGGGGCGAAGTGCCGCTTGTAATCCTCGCTGGGGAAAGCGGAGCGGACCCGAGAGGAGGAATTGGCTTACAGAGCATGGCCCGGTGGAGAAAAAAGGGCTGGGAAAACCGTACCGACCACCCGGGGAAGGCACCGCGCAGGGCAGGTGATGGGGAGGGACACAGCGTACTGGGGAGGGGGTCCGGGGACGGCAGCCAAGCTGGGGGGCTGCCCCATGCCGCTGCTGCCTTCGGAGCCTGTCTGGGGAGGGACCGTGGAGGGGACTGCGGAGGGGATGGGACCCATCTCTCCCCACCAGCCTCGGTGGCATGGGGCTGGCCCTGGCACGGAGGGGGTCTCCAGCACAGCATCCCGCCGGCCCGGCCCTGGCTGGCCCCGGGCCAGGGCTGTCTGGTGCCATTATCCTGGCGAGCATGGGACTCCCAGCTGCTCCTGGTTCACATCCAGAGCACTAATCCGCCCCTCCGTCCACCTCCAACCTCCCTTTTACACGCCTAATCCCTCTGTTTCGCCATCCTGCTCACTGGCTTTCCCACCCCCCTCTCCCCTGGGACACTCGGCCACCGTCACTCGCTCACCCCCTAAATTGCCTCCCCCTCCTCAGACACAGCCTTGCCACTGACC